ATATGTGCCATTTCCACGGGGAAAAATGCAAAGTGGTCCATTCATTGACCTGTTCCTCTGCAAATGAATGTCATTGTTAGTACATCTCAGTTCACTGCCTATCAATATGAAAGCTGTAGTACAATTTTTATGTGCCAAATGCCTCATTTTGTTTGCTTTAAATTCCATTTTCTTTCAGTTTCATTTTAAAACAGCTGTTTTCTAAATCCCTCCACAAATAGCAATTATGTTTTATAATGATGATCTTTGTCACTTAAGTTTTTAACTAGTGGTTTGATTCCTTTCTCTCAGCAATGTTAGACTGAGATCGCTCAATTGAAGTTCATAGCTGCGGTGGTATAAAACTGGTGTTGGTGAGTGGAAAAGTCACATATTTTGTTTCAGGTGTTGGAGATTTTGCATACATCCGAGCATCTGGAATTACACTGCTCCACCCAAAGCTGTTGCTGTGTTTTGTGCTTTGTGTATTTTATCTTCCGTGAAAGACCCAAGTCCTCTTTTCCTTTACGGTTTGCACCACCCAAAAAACCCCCTGTTACAATTCCAGAAGAGATGATGCTCAGCAGACACAGAAATACCTTCTTCTGGAGCCAGAGGGCCTTGCCCCATCCCTGCTAGTGTTTTGGTCAAGGTGCCTATGGGGTCCATTACTGGCGGTAGGAGAAGTTCTCATCCGCTTTTGTCATCCAGGAGCCTTTCTAATCCATCTGCCTTGTCATGGTTGGGCTGCAGTGTCTCTCCTGCTGTGTCTCTACCCTCAGCAATATTTTACAGGCAGAGAAATGACTTGGGTAGATCTTTATTTGCCTTGTGGCTAGAGGCTGCTTATCGGTGTGTTGGGTTTTTGGTCTCCGGCTGCTTGTACTTCAAACTACTCCAGTGTGACTCTTGAGTTTTCAGGCCTATTTATTTTTGTTTCAGCCTTCAAGGCATATATGGGAATGTCTTAAACCAGCTTTGCTTCTGAAGAAATCATGGTGTGGAACTGAATCTTGGAGCACTGAGTGTGTCCACCTACAGTGTTGTTTTTTTGTCGCAGCCTGCAATGTTTACGATACCAAGATTTTCTCTGTTTTTTGGTGAAGGGGTCTCAAAACTTAGCCCTGCTAAAGTGCAATTTTTTGGAGTATGTGCCATTTTAAACCAAATGTTATCCACCTAACAGCCTGCCTGCCGAGAGGCGCTCATTTGTCAAGGTTTACTTGGGTTTTTGGTAAGGGAGTTTTGTATTGGTAGCAGAGACGAAGCTGTGTTGTAATTTATTTGTTTCATCTCATGCTTGGTTAGATCTCTAAAGCCTTAATCCCGGTTATGGTTTACTTCTGGTAATGTAAATTGTACAACTTTTTCATGAGTTTACGCCTTTCTTTGCATTTTTTGGAAGGAACTTCTCTACTTCTCTCCTGTGGTTGCTAGATATTCAGAACGAGTATTCAGATTACCAAAATTCAAGTTGAATAAAGCCATTTCCCATTAAACAAATAAAAGTACAAAATAGTCTCTTGATACTTTCCCCATATAAGCTTTTGTACTAAGCCAACTCTGTCGAATCCTGTGTCAAGCCTCGAGTCATACTTCAGAGATGCTGGCATTTGGAGTGAGGTTTGTGGTGATCTGGAATCCAGTGCAAGTTTTCTATCCACAGTCCTATGTGAATAGGTGATGAATCAGCAGTATTTTTGTCTCTGAGCCAAGAAACATAATTTATTGCTGAAAGACCGTTTTTTGTCTGTCTAACAATAGGATGATTTTCTGAATATTTAGGCAGAGCAATTTTTGATTAAAAATACTTTTGCCAGTGATATGGTAGTTGAATTATGATCTGTGGGCATCAGAGATTAAATACTTGTGGGGAGCTCTCTGGAACTCAGCTTATGAAAAGGATGCATTATGCTGTAAATTATTAAATATTGATTTCTGGAACAGTCTACAGGCATCAATGAATTTAGCAATATGCTAGTAAATAATATGAAGAAGATTAATATCTCAGCAGAAAAAGTAATTACAAATATGTTTAAATAATGATTTTGGTGCAAGTTAGATTTGTGGATACCAAAGAGGACTCAACTGTGGCCTGTTGTTGAGTATCCAAAACCACCTAGAAGATGTTGTCACCTAAGACTTTCATAGCTGAAGTTCCCAAAGTTTCCTGAGGTCTGTGAGCTGTTGGATGCTGGATGTTTGACTTCGGAGATGACAGGCACGTGTCAGAGGAAGCCAGGCATTTCCTTTACAGAGTTCGCATTCTTCTGCATTGCTCTGAGGTTTCCTGGCACCCTGCTTTGAGACAGCTAGGTTAACCACAGTTTAGCCTCTATAGCAAAGCTGTTGCTTGCAAGTCATTTGCACCAGTAATGGTTTCTTTACAATGGTTTAGAGAAGTTGTTACTGCAAAATGTTTGCTCTCAGCATTCGTTATGGAATTATATCTCCTCAGAGATTAGCAATTTGAATTTGTCATTACTTTTTCTCTCAGTGTAAGTATTTTAGAGCAATAACTTCCTCTAGAAGAATGAAGTAAATGGCTTTCGTTGTCTTAATTTTGTGTGGAGGGAAAGACAATTTTCATGTGTTATCCCTAATCATCACGTAGATACCCACGTGAAGCACATTTTTGACTTGCTGCTTCACTTTGTTCATGAGACAAAATTAATGCTCTTCTGCAGATGTTAGTCTTTAAATTTCGTTAGGAGGCATGACAACATCCTTAGGTCACTGAAAATGAGCAGGCAGCTTTAGTTGCAGCTTGTGAATTTGTCTTGCGTTTTGAGAGGTTTATGTAGCAGCAGAAGTGGAACTGCTCATCGCATATAAAGGCATCTCTGTGCGAACTGTCGGTACTAAATGAATAAGAAAAGGTACTGTATTTGGGGAAAAATGCAGAGGTACAATTTCAGCTTTGGTTTCCACAATTGCAAATACAGCTGACATACCAGCTGTGGTGTGACTGCGATGGGTGACCTAAGAAAATAGTTGCTGTTGACCTCAAAGTCACAAAATGCGTAGTTTAGTTAAATAGCAATAAATGCTCGTGAGAAGCTCGAGTAAAGGATGAGGTTGGGTGAAAGCAGCTGGCTCATATAGATAGCTGTTGGTTTGCTAAGTGCAGGTATGTCTAAGTGAAAGCCCGTCACCCCTGGCTCATGTGGAGGCTGTCCTTGTGACCAAATTCATGGCACGCAGACATAGAATCCGTTGTCCCACCCCCGCCTTGAACATTTATTTGTTTTTATGGTTTTTGTTAAGGTATCTCAAGGATATGTGTAGTACATTAGTTTTTATTGTGTTCTGCTTTATTCTCCATGCTGCAATAACATCAGAGTCTTGCAAGGCCCGTATAAAGGATGGCGGAGGATATTGGCATCCAGGAACAGTGCCTTCAGTCCCTCGGGGCAGAAATTCAAATGTTGGCTGTTGCAGGCTGCCTGACGCTGTCATGGTGTATTCCAGCTAGGTTGAAAATGTCCTTCTAGGATGAGTGGTGTAGTCATCCCATTACTGATTTATGGCTGAAACAATCTAGCACACAGTTGCTGGCTTGGTATTTCCTAGGGTGGTAATACCTTAGTGAAAGGTGAGGATGCATTAGTAGGTGAGTCAGATGAATGCTTTCAAATGAGCTGTTCAAGTTTTGTATTAAAAAAATAAAAAAAGGGAGGAGGGAACAAAAAGAAAACCAACAACAAAATGCAAAAGATTCTGAAAGGCTTGAGATTAGGAGACTACTCAGAAAGCTTTGATTGTTATTAAGGTCAGTTAACTCCAACAGATCATTTACAAGTTTGGTGAAGTTTCAGAAACATATCCTTTCAGTTGTGGTGTGAAAGCAAGTGGCATATGGCTTTTTTAACATTCAGGAGCTCCTTTAGTGAGGCTACAACTAAAGATGTTGACTATGTTTTTACTAAGATTTTTTTTTTTAAAGGCTTAAAATGAAAAGCTCCCCATTCCAACCTTCAGCCCTCTTTAGCTGTCACAAGACATGTTCATACCGCAATCACACGCAGCTCTTGGCCACATTACAAAGCTACTTTAAAAATCAAGTAGCTCAGCTATTGCTTGAATATTTAATCAACTTTTTGGCTGGGTTTTATTGCCAGCATCAGATCCCATAATGTAAGCCTATTATGTTGTAGTTACACCTATGAAAAAAAAAGGAGAAAAGAAAAAAGGAGATAGAAACCCATTCTTCCACCTTTCATATACCAGCTGAGCTTGAAACTGGCAGAGTCATTAAGTGTAATGCCAAGTGTCAGTTGTGTGAACAAATGTGTGATAATTGTATTTTGGATCCAGCAGTGCTTTAGAGCAAACTGCTCATAATTTTCAGCAGTTACTCTTGCAAAGTGCATTCCTTTGATTTCTTTATCTTCAAGTTACATCTGCAGAATAAAATTTCAAAGTCAACTCATGCTTTGCAGTTGCTTAAATTGTGTGTTATGTAGTAAGTAACTAAACCCAACAAAGCTAGGAGAAGATAGTTGTCTATGTAAGGTGGGTTTAACTGGTACTGATCTGGTCCTTATCATTCTCTTTGAGACCATATACTGTTTGTGTGTCATCTTAAAAAGTTGCCTTTGGCGTCAGATTGGTGTTAAAATTGTTCATTTCAAATATATGGCCAGTATTGAAATTGTTAAAGTCGTAAGCTCTGATTTATACCTAATTTATTCATCTGTCATTCTTTCCAAAAACTTCTGTTTTACTGATATATAAATATTTAGTCTTGGAATGTCTCTTTCTCCATATATGTGTGAGCATACATGTGTGTTTTGTATATATTTGTGAAAAGTTTGTAATTCGTATAGCTAGAACATAACCTCTGTCCTTCAAGTGCACTCAGGTAAAGAGAGGGATTCCTCATGCAGCAGATCAGACAATTTATAAAAGACATAACATTTTTAGAGGGAGTTCTTCCATGCTATCTCAGAGCATCAGAGATCTGGAGATACTGGAGTTCTGAGTTTTCTACAGGTGTGTGAGCAGCATGGGAAGGGGATATGCTGCACTTGTGGAGATACCTGTATATCGCAATTGGGCTCATTACTGTTGAATATGAGGAGATGCAGTCAAAGACCAACTGTGTAAGTTTTGGCTGACAGAAAGCTGTACGTGGCCTGGAGAAAAGAAGGTGTTTAGACCTTAGAGCCTTGATAAATGTGAGTGAATGGACAGATGAAAAAAAATACTCTAGGAGAAACATAGCTTTGGTAGTCCAGAAGCATAGAAGATTTGAAGATGATCATGCATCCAGGCCTTAATATATCAGAATTATGGCTCTTTGATCCCTCAAGAACAATATGGAAACTCACATTTATGTATATTAAAGCTCATGGTGTTTGTACATTTGGGGTGAGGAATATCAGTGATGCTGGGAAAAGTGTTTCGCATCACGTTTCCGCAGGTGATTTTGCAATGTTCTTGTAAAGTAACCCAGTGTTGTCCTGTGTGCCACCGACACTCTTTTTGTACTTCAGACCAAACGCACATTTAATTTAGTTCACAAGTGACCGATGTTACCTGATTTTTCTCTGATTTGTCTCCTTTTGTCTAGCTATTACAGCTTCTGGAGTCTGAAACCAAGCAATTAGAAGCCTTTCTGGAGTGGAAGCAACTGGAACCAGTTTATTGGCAGTGGATGGTAATGAATCAAACTGGTTTTGAAGGGTGCAGCTTTCTTGACTCTAACATAGCTGGCCACTTCCAAAGGCCCCTTCCCACAAAAACAAATGCTGCAAACCAGCTGTTCAACAGCACTTGAGAAAAAGGAAAAAAGGCTTTGGTGTAAAGTAAGGAATGTTCTCTTAGTTCTCCTTCATCCCTCTGTTTTCTTCAGTGATACTCACTCAGCTAAGCTGAGGAATTGCAGGGCAGAGTGGCAGAATTTCGAATAGTTAACACAAATGAAAATGTCTGATCTGCATCTCTTTAATGTTTTTTAAACATAGCAATCATACATTTTCTTAAAATTAAATAGCTTTTCAGAAGAAGACCTCTAAGCTTTATTGCAGACTTGAGAACAACTAAATCTGCAAGCAGCTGATATTGAAAACAACTTCATTTTTCCCAGCTAAATAGTGTGTTGGAATTGCCGATTTCCCCTTGAACTGTGTTCAGTGATCGTAAGAAAATCAATAAACCTTTTTCTGTGCATCTTACGATTTCTCCAGTGAGTGTAAACGGTACCATCCATCTCACTTCTCTCTACAACTTTTACCCATTCACAGTTGCTGAAAATAATTCTTTAGAGCACCACATTAACTGTATGAGTTTACAAAATTTTGAGAATCAGTGATCTGACTGTTAATTGCCCGTATGCCTTGTTCTGCACTAAAGGCAAGGAAGTGTAAAATTACCTCACCTGTCTTGAGGAGTACTTCCAATGCAGAGCCATTCAAATTGCTCTTCTACAATGATTTTTGCTTTACATGTCTACCATCTTATGGTTATTTGGAAAACATCAACACCAGCATAAGCCTGGCTCCAAACAGGCAAAATATTACTGCAAGTGTTATGGCATTTCAGTGTATCCACCAAAACGTTTGTCTCTGACATGTTGGAACAGTGTGGGGAGTATTGTGAGTGTTAGTGTGCTTCCTGGAGTTAAGTCCTAAATAAATACTTCGAAAAAAACCACCTGACTAGCACATCCTTTTAAATTATTCTATAGGCTGAATGGCAAATTTGCCTTTTTCTTTTGTTTTGCTGATGACGGTGGTTGTTCCTGGATGCTGTAGGATGTATGGGAGTGAGATGTGCTTTGAGGATGCAGTAGTTTTCTTTTCTCTCTTAACTTGTGTTTTGCATTGCTGATCTGATGGATGGGATGATGCTGGCATAGCTACTACCAGATCTTCCTGATGGTTGTGGGCAGGAACATGACAGAGCATGACGTAACTACAGCAACTGGAGTGACTGCAGTAATGTTACTTTAAAATTCTGTCATTTAATGAATTTCAAATTAAAAAAAAAAAAGACCCAAACCAAAAAACCCAACAAAACCAAAAAAGCTTTGTTTTATTTCCCTGCAGTTTGTTAGCCTGTTGGTGCCCAGAACATGTCTGCTTTGTCATGAGCTGGGCCTTTGGTCAGCATGAACTGCTGGCCTCAGCGCTGCTTTATGCCAGTTTTGCAGTGCTGATGCTTGCTGAGAAAGGAGGTTTTGTAGGGTGTCTTTTGCCTTTCTTAGCTATCTTACAAAGTTTTTTCCTTGTACAAGCCTGAAAATTGCTGTGAATTAAGCCAGAGTTTTTAACCTACCTGCAGAGAAGAGAGAGAAAGAAGAGAGGGAAAATAAATTCCCATCCTCTTTATAGCCACCTTTTATATAAGTGAAAGCTGTTAGCATGTCACTGCCTTCCCAGTCCCCGTTTCTAGGCTAAATAAAACTGGTTCTCTCAATGTCTTCTTGTAGGCCAGTTGTTCAGACTTCTGATGGTTGTTGCTGCTCTCATATGGGACTTTCTCTCTCGTTTGTCTGTGTTTTAACTTCAGGTGCCTCACCCATATGTCAGTGTTACAGTCAGCACTTTTCGATCACTGAGACTTGCGTTTATACTTTCTAAAATGGTACCTGACTTCAACAGTATGACATTAGTGACTTCTGGTTTTCTGACTTCTCTTCCAGCAGTGTTGCTGCTGAGCCAGTAATTACGCATTTGGTTTTTCTTTGCCCATGCATAGACCATGCTGCTCAACTGCTGAATTTCCTCCTACTGTTTTCAAATTACTTCTCCAATTTCTAAAGATAATTTTGAATGCAAATTATGTCCTTAAAAGAGATTATGGCCTCTCCTATTCAATGTCGTCTTGATAACAATATAGAAATAAGTATTTAACACTCCTTGAGTGAGGAGGCATGGATCCTTTACTTATGCTATGCTACCCTGGCTTGAAAACTGTGTGTTTATACATAGTATGTGCACCCCGGTGGATAGGTGCATGCATTTCAAGGACTCTGAAGGTACTTGATGTTCTTCTGAGTATTTCAGATAACCGTTGCTATTTCTGAAGGCAGTTGCAGAATTAATTATAGAACCAGCTAGGTGGTCATGGTCAAGTAGAGCTGACAGAACTCCTGACCAGCCCGAAGCAGGGATCTCTTGGAGTTCCTCAACTTGTAGAGTTTTACATGGGTACAGGTGAATCCCACGGGTGTTACAGCTTACTGTGCCACGTCGGAGGTGAGGCTCTCCTGAACAGCGTAAGCATGTACCTCCTTCCTGGTCATCACTTTGTTGCAAAAAGCCTCAGAAGTGCATCCAGCCTTGGAATCTGAGGGGAAGGGGCATATGTAGAGCTTCTGCAGTAATGATCATCTCTGTCCCATGAGTGTTACTTTATGCTTTAGTGCAGTGGAGAGTAGCTCACAGTATGCAGTGCTTTCTAAAATAAGCTAGGTTAGCAACATAAGTTTTCTGTTAACTTAGAAATATGTTACAGTGAACTTAGGAGGTTATGTCTTAAAATAACTCTGAAATTGTGGAGCAACTGTATGCTGAGATGGGAGCAGTGAATTCCTAGCTATGAATTACCAGGAAGATGTGGAGGGGGAAACCCTTTCAGCTCCTGATTTATTTTTTTCCCTTTAGGAAACTGTGTTAGATAATATGGCTGAAGAGGGAATTATGTGCGAGTCCCAGGACGTTCACATAGAGAAAGGCAGGCTGCCGAAGGTGACCTTGTGCTGCCCCTGGGCTGACAGTCTGACTGGGCAAATTGACAGATTATCCAGAGATCTAACAACTCTACGTGACCAATTGCATAAGCTTATAACTCACCGAAGGGCTGTGTGGTGTGAGAAGGTAAGGCTTTGGGGTGGTGTTCTTGATCATTAGTGACTCTTAAGATCCTATGTTTTTCAGCTGTCTCACAACGGCCCATCCTAGGGCAGCCTCCCTGTTGCTGCTCTGTGTCAAGCTTGCTGCAATCTCGATGTCAGATCTATAGTTACTTGTCTGTTTATGCCCACAGCATGCCAGGTACTCTTTCAAACACAAAGTAGGCATCTGTCCCAGAGAGGCAGCATGCTGAAATAAAGTAAGTGTTCTTTTGGAAGGGAAGACATCAAAGGATAGGGTTTGCAGAGGAGAGAAGAGAAGAGGGGGAAATCATGGCAGCCCCCTGGAGGGGATAGAGGCAGCAGGTTGAAAGCATCAGTAATGGTTATAGTGAGAAAAATATAGGTAGGTATTTGCAGGGAAAGGGGTGGGGGAGAGGCCAGAGCTTGTCATCTTTCACTGAGTTAGTAGTCTTTGAAATGTTTGATGGGAGAAGGAATAAGAAGGGTTTGAAACCTGTGAAGTGAGAGAAGTGTCTAAGCACAAGGTTTCGTGGAAAAACAGACTGGCTGTGGGAGGCTGGCTGTGGAAAAAAGCAGGCGACACGAAGGAAGTGAGCATGGTATTCGCTGACACAGGGATGGGGAGACACTGGGGAGCACCCGGAGGGGGTGGTGGAGTATAAGTAAAGGAGCTGTTAATGTACATGTAGCAGGTGAATCTGACTATCAACATGCTGGCACAAGGAGAAGATATGATGAAGATGCAGGCATAAAAACTAGTAATTCTTTTCAGGCATCAAGAGGAAAGGAGGATACCAGAGAATCTAGGAAACCTGTGGATGGAGAAAAAAGTGAAAGAAACAGTTGGGGCAGAAAGAGCAGTAACAAAAATGCTGTATCACTATTTTGTGTCTGTATTAACTCAGGAGAGGGGCTTTTTTGCATGGGTGTTTTTCATTTGTTGTTTTTTTTTTTTTTTTTAGATTGAAGTGTTGGTAGACAGGATTATAGATCAGCTGACAAAATAAAAAGTGGCAGGTCAACAGATCAAGTGGTATTTGCCAGAGTTTAAAAGGGTCTGGCATGGAAAAAGTGTGTGGAGAGCTAATCATTCTTTTCCACTGTAAGGATAAGGAACTAATTAGGATCAGTTGGACAGGGACAGGCATGAGGAGCTGCTGCTTCATGCAGGGTATGGAATTTCTTCCCACAGGACACTGTGGATATAAGCAGCGTACATGGATTCGAAAACGGTTGGACACATTCTTAGAAGATGAAATCCATCAAAGCTTATGAAATATACAGATACGAGTTACAAACTTAGGAAGTTGCAGGAGTACAAATCATTGCAGGCTGGGGGAATATTCTGAGGAAATATCTCCATATATTTGCTTTGATCTTCATCTTCTCTAGGCATTTGCTGTCAGTCACTGTCAGTGATGGGGTACTGGACTAGGCAGGTCTCTAGCATCATCAGATTTGGTTGGTTTTTTGGCAAAATGGACATGACTGTTACAGGACAACTCAGACCTTGAATTCTAAAAATAAAATTTCCAAGGCATGATTTCCAAAGCAAGATATACTCTGATGACTCTTGTATATAACAATATATATGCTGTTAAATATTATATAATAATCACACTGAAATTTTTTTATGCTTAAATTTGGAAATTAAGTCCAAAAAAGATTAACTGATGAATTCTTCATTGTACTTTGAAATAGATGCACTGATCGGATTTGAATGATGGTCGGTCAAGTTCCAGTGTTTCTGAGATTCAGTGAATGTCATATGAGTTTATGACTATGGGTAACAAACAGAATGCATCTTAAGTGTGTTATTAAAAGGATGGTTTATTGAAAGTGCCTCCTCTTCTGCATGCCCTGGAACAGAATTGTTTTGTAACGCTACATGACAGCTTTTTTTGGAATGCTGGGGGTCAGATGACTCTCCATCAATCCTCTTTATATCAACCCTTCGTTTGAATAGTGTTGCTGCTTCTGTGATGCTTTCTGCCTGTAGTCTTCTTTTTTCCCCATAGTCAGGATGCTTGCTGAATGCAGGCTCCTCTATCAATTGTATGTTTCTGCCCCCTTCAGTCTTTTCCCTGGAGAAATAAGCTTATCAAATCTTTTCTTCTATATTATTTTTTTAGTCAGACAAAGAGAAGATATAGCGGTAGCTAAAGCGGTCATTATCTCTGACTTTGTATCTTGCAACACTGAGACATCTGGAAATTATCTTGGCTCTTACAGGCATGCCAGGCTGAGGGACAGTACAGTTTATTATAGCTCTTGCGCCCGCTACCTCGTACTTCACAAAAAACATGATAATCCACAGAGTAATTATGTCGGTTGTTACCAGTAGGCCTGATGTCTATGCCAGGCAACTGAGTGGAAACTGTTCTGAAGAACAGAATTGAGGGCACATGATTAAACGTGATATACTGGGGAAGAGACAGCACGGTTTTTGCAGAGAGGAATCATGAATCTAAAAATCTGTTGGACCTCTTTGAAGGGACCAGTGAGCATGTGGGCAAGGGGAGGTTGGATTGACGTAGTTTAATTGCATTTACAAATGGCATTTGGTAAAGTCTCTGAAAAGATTCTCAATAAAAATAAACTGCCCACGTGACTGTCTTTCCTCTTACCCGTGAGCAAACAGCAGAGCAGGGAGTGGGGAGGAGGCGGCTGTGATCAGTTTGCGGAGGCAGTCACTGGTGGAGCCTCGCAGGCCCGTGCTGCTCAGTGTGTCTGTAACTGCTCTGAGAAAGGAGGTGCACAGCGAGGTGCCCAAGTTGAGAGATGAGACTAAATCCCTGAGAGCACCTGAAGGACGACAGCAGTGTTGAGGGTCCTTCTACTGAGCACTCTAGTGGTAAAATGTCAGATAAAATTGGACGGAGGTAAATCTAACAAAGTGCATCTGAATGGAGAATCATAATTTTACATGTGTTTTTTCTGATCTGACTGTCATGGTACGTGAATGAGCTCTTGGTGTTATAATGATGGTTCTGTGGAAATGGCAGGGGCCAGAAATGGTAAACGGAATCCTAGGAATTGTTACAAAAGCAGAAGGCAGCAAAACTTAAAATATTCCCATCCGTTCCTGGAATGCCATGTGCAATTCTGGTCCCAGTCTTAACTCAAAAAAAAAAAAAAAAAAGTTTAGCTGAAAAGGCACAGGGAGGGGAAGCAGCGATGACGACCCAAGTTGTGAAAGGGTTTCTCTGCAGGAAGTTTACCTAGGCTAGGGCTCCTTGCACTAGAAGAGGAGAGAATGAAGAGGGGTCTCACACTGGAACTGGAGGAAACATTTTTTTACCGTTCTTCTGATGCTCCTTGGTTTTCATGATTGGTGAACCTGGAGGGAATTACTGGACAAATTAATGAAGAAAAAAATCATTGTTAAGCAAGAAATATGGAAAGTATTCTCTGGTCAGGAAAGTCCTTCAGTTGCAAGCTAGTGGAGGTTAGTATCTTCCAGTGGTTGTATCTTCCAGTGAGGTATTGTTACATATTTGTCTAGTCCTAATCTTATTCCCTAGCATTTGCTATTGAAGACTATTGGAGACAGTGCTGGGTTCGATGGAACTTTGATATAACAAGATACAGTTGCTCTTTCTTTACATCCAGTTTTGAGCGTCACAATTCAGGAGAGAAATTGAGGAGAGTCCAGAAGACAAAAACGAAAATCATCCTAACTCTGGAACTTAAGGTCTTTGAAGGTCTTTATGTTAAAAGTGGAAAGACTAAGGTGAGGTATATGATTCTTTGAATATGAAGAAATTTTCTGTGGGGGAATCGTTTTTTGGGTTTTTTTGAGGTGTTTTTTTTGGGTTTGGTTGGTTTTTGGTTTTTTCTTTTTGCTTTTTTGGCATTTTTGTGGGTTTTTTTGGTTTTGTCCGTCCCCCCCCCCCCCGCAATGTCTGTGAAAGGAACAAGAATGTGTGTAAATTGCAACACAGATATTGTAACTAGATACTAAGGAAAAAAATGCCTAATGCCTGGGACAGAGAAATGTTGGAGTTGGTTGTCTCATGAGCTGTGAAGGCTCCATTCTTGGACCCTGCCCAAACCAGGTTATGCAAATACCTGTCAGGGGTGGCTGAAGAGGAGTTCTAAGACTGTGGGTTGGGCTTAAAAACCTGTTGAAGTCTCTTTCACTTATGCAAGCCTGTGACTGATTGGTTTTGGACTATGTAGAGGTATTTCAGGTGTCTTAAAGTCATTGCTGTGCCATGATGTCTGGTTTGCACCACTAAACACAACTGCTTATTATTCAGGATGTGGTTTCAGGGGCAATGTGTCTATTTGTTGCAAGTTTGATCATTTGTACACTGTGATTCTGGCAGTTAAACTATTGATCTTAAATATTTTAAAATTAAGAAAGTTGTTTTCATTATTTTCTTTCGTTTGTTTCTTTGTTTGTTTCCTTATTTTCTTTTGTTTGTTTCTGTCAACCCTCAGCTCTTTCTTTGGTTATGTGCTTGGGATGACCCTGAAACTGTTTCCCTTTTCAGGGACATTCATGAGAAGACACTTGAACGTTGCCATGGGATTTGGGTGATTTGTGAAATCCTGATTAATATGACATTTTAAACTGATATCCATCTCTAGGCAGCAATGTGTTCAGTGTCTTGGAGGAGGAAAGGCATATGACAGAGACGTGATCTGAATATGGGCCTTTCTTATTGTTAGCGTTCTTCTTTTCCATACAGTACTAGGCAAATAATTGTAATTTCTTTGGTGACATTTTGAGGATTTGTAAATGATAAAGTTGAGTGAAATAGGTAAGCTTTAAAAATGTTTCTTTTCTTAGAAACCAACTTAACTATAAAAGAAGAAATCTCCTAATTCCAGAAGAGAACTTGTTTGTTTGCTTTTTCCTTTCTGAATATTTCATGTTATCTACTCCTCTGTTTGAGAGGGGGATTTGATTTCAGTCTGTGTTAAACACTTGGCATCCACAAGCTGGAATGCAGAGTATTTGACTCCAAATGATGATTGTTTCAGTTTTCATCA